TACTTTTGACCGTCAGAGTTGTTATCAAGAGTTAAATGTTGCCAGTCTGATCGACAAGATTTTGTTGGCTACATCCTGGCATTTTTGGGAACGCTACCTTTCAAATTTAAACATATTCATGAATCGTATAAGATGTAGCTTTACAGTGCTTGGTAGCATTGAAAAATGAAGGTCTCGACTAATGTACACGTATTATTTTCTAACGTAATAACCCTGCATTTTGCAGTTCTGTCCAGTCTCCCCGGTGGTTCTGGCCGAAAAAGAAATCCACCCGATCTTCCTCCGGCGAACTGAAGGAACCACCACTATTCGCCCCGTTGTGAATTCTTGATCCGAACAGCAGTGTATTGATCTCCCCAGAACGATCCAGTGGGAAGGGGATGAAATGGCTGGGTATTTCGCTGAAAGGAAATCACTATTCATGCAGCAAAAGTTTCTTGTCGTAGCCGCAAACACACGAAAAAGAAAAAAAAATCTCCTGTTCCTGTACAAAGAACCCTATTTAGGCCACTGTTTTTTATGTCTCTACCGAAGAATTTACACGAGTACAAAATGTCGTAGCGAGATTCACTCGTTTGGGTCGGAAAGTCACACAGAGAGAGAGTAGGAAAATTTCTGCCTAAACAATTTCGGCTGATCTAAGGGAAGTAATTCGTGGATCTTCGTCTGCACCCTACGATATAGCAGTCTGCTTTCTCGCAAACTTGTTGACGAAGTTATCTGGATTCGAACGGGTTCTATTTCGATCTCTTGGTTCGGATCGGTCTTCTTGACACAGGGCAACCAACAGACCAGACCAGCAAATTCCAACAAGCCGCCTCTTCCGCGTTCTGATCTCCGAACTACGAACTCATCTGACTAACTCAAGCGTGCGGGCAGCTTATATAGAGAGAGGCGTAACTAAACCACCTTTAGGCACCGCCCCCGAATTTTAATATGCAAATCGCCTGGACCACCATGTGTTTCCGCCTAATCTCCGGATCTCCGCGGGCAACCAGTTTTCAAGAGGTACTAAAATCGGATTCGGATTTCCTGCTGGAACTTCCGCAGATAACGTATACTTAAATTTTGCCAAAACTACTTATCCCGTCTGGGTGAATTCCGCTATTCAGACCACCCAAAAATCAATTTTGCCATTTATCACGAACTTTACTTTATCACATCTGTCACTTATTCACTTTGGAATTATAACATGTAATTAACTAATAACTCAATCCCAGAAACAATTATTAAGAGAAAAAAAACAAGAGAAAAAAAAACAAACTTATTTCTGGAATTACTCCGAATCCCTTCTACCCAAGTAATTAGCACCTTCATCCTAATCTTTAGCACTGTTGATTACTAAATCCACCTCGGTGTGGGTGGGGATTCTCTCTCTCTATGTCACAATTATTATTATTATTATTATTTCGATTTCTGCTATGGTCACACTACCTACTAAGTTTTCGGAATGGTCGAAGGCAGGTAGTGGTGTGTTATGGTTACATTTCATGATTTGTTTTTCTAACTCCCATAACATCACTAGCGTTACATTGACAAAGATCTTAATATGTGGAGTGCACTTATCAAGACCATTTTTTTGTATTTCTCTTAAGCTAGGTATTTTTTTCAATATGTTGTGCTCCTTTTTTATCATTCCAAGCGCTTGTTTTCAATTTTCACATTTTTTTTATTTATTTTAATTTCCAGGTCTTTATACTTCGATAGTTTTTTCAAATTCCTTGGTTGCTATATTACAGTCCGCAGGGAAAGCCATATCAATTAGTAGGCAGGTTTTTTCTTTGTAGTTTTTGACAATTATACCCGGCCTATTTGCTTCAATATTCCTGTCCCTGAATATGGTGTAATCCCCTAGAATTGTGATGTCTCCTATTTCTATAACCGGTGCTGGGTGATGTTTGTACCAGTGCTTATTAACTTCATTACAAAAGTGTTTGCACATTCTCAAATTTCAGTATTACCCAACTCTATCATGGCGATTTTAATATTCATTTGGCGCAAGTACAAAACATCCTGAGATAGTCTATCCTTTCCTGATATTTGTCACAGAACCGGCATTTTGAATCCACACTATTATCTATGATATTTACCTGAAAGTTCTGAGTAGAAAGACTCTGGTCGTGTTTTGCAAGAATAAAGTTTTCCGATCCAGCCTTTAATCCAGATGCTTGTAACCATCATGAGTGTTAACTCTATCAACATTGGCTTTATTAACATGTTCTCGGTATTGGCCATGCACAGGTTTACCTTGCCAGCGTTGGTCAATCTGCTCAAGAGCTTTGTACTTGGCTTTCTATTTCGTATTTTTTGCTGTAACAGTTGATTCTTGGGTTGTTTTGGTTTTCTACACAAACTAGCAAATATCAATCTTGTTTGTATTTCCAACCTTCTCTCATGATTGAATATTTTTTCTTTATGTCTTCTTGTTGTTCGACTAATTTTATCATCCACTCCTTTCTTGTTTCCATGTATGTTAGTAAGACAATAGTTGTTCTGTATGACAATTTTAGCTGAATAAACCTCTTCGGCATTTTTTATTGAGTATGCATAGACGGTCTGTATCTGGCTTTAGATTATGCATATTATACTTAGAAAAAACTTTCTTGTCTTAGAGTCCATTCCTCTGATGTCATTTAGAGTCCAGATGTTGGAACGATATTAGTGGCCATAATTCTGTTCTGAGAAATCAAATCAAATAGCAGTCGCAGTACAATAGATTGTACTCTTTTCGCAGTATTTTTTCCTTATTTTATGGTGAATTCCTTCACCGTCATTTACACCGAGGTACTTATAAGATTCTACTTCATCAAAATATTTTTACCCCAGGGTCTAAGATAATAGAGGAGGGTCGTTATAGTAATTAAATTCATTGAAACATTTTGCTGTTTTCGGGAGACCTTCCATTTCACTGTCATTCCTGGTATAGAACTTTAAGTCATCCATATAAAATAGATGGCTTATTTTCTTTTGAGATAAGTTATAGCCATAATCCTTCGTATTAAGTTTGCTGGTTAATCCTATTAGGGATTTAGAAAATAGTAAGGGAGAGAAAGAGTCACCTTGAAATATTTTTCTGTTGGTGTTTATTTCACCAGACTTATAAATTCCATTTATATGCGTTGTGTCGTAAATAGGAAAGGTTGACACACACATAGAAAATAAGAAATATTTTATTCCAGAGAATAATATGGTAAACTGTTGAAAACACAGACTAATATAATAAACAGTTAATCGTTAACTCCTCTTTCTCGCTCTCGAGATTTATTGTAAACAATGCAGATGGCCTAAAATAGGGGATGGATTAAGGCTGGTCTTCACTGATTATCCTATACCTAGCTAATCCGATTCACGACCCATTCACTCATTACAATTCGCACATTCACCATGAGAACTCATCCGTCATCAATCAATCCCCCATATACGATAACGCTCCATACTCTCAGATGAATCTAAAAAAACGTACCCCAGGGTATAAAATTTGATGATAATAAAAGTTCAATACATAAAAATCTAATGATTGACAATGCGTAGAAAGGGGATGAAACCCCAGAACAAACTAAATATCAAAGTAAAACAAATATAACTGATGTTAGTAGGGCCCGTCCAACCCTCAAAAAAGAGATGCCGCTGTATTCTGCCCATTGGACAAAATCAAAGGGCTCTTTTGCTAATGGAGTCGGAAAGAATAAGAAATATACGGACATGGGAAAAAAAACTGACTCAGTCGAGATAAAAAGGGGCCAAAACAAACTGGGGAGGTTGTGGATCTCAACGTGAATCATAACCAAAGATGTGGCCGAGAACAGGCCGGGAACAACACTTAATCACATTAACTAGGTACGCAAAGCTTGTTTAGCTTAATCAGGGGATGGCTCCACAGGAAGCCGCCCCGATGTGACCACTGCTTCTGCTGTTGCTGCTGTCGTTGCTGGACGGGGCGGATGTTTTGTTCTTTTACCAAGGCACTCCTTGGTCATGTGCCCTGAAGCGCCACACGACCAGCAATATGGTCTCCTGCCCTCCACGACCACCAACATCAGTTTGTCACGGCAAACGAGTACATTCGGTATCTCACCGAAATTTTTTCGGTTCATCGTGACTTGAACTTCCATGTCGTCTGTCGCTATTCCTATTTTACTTATGAGGGCCTTTACTTCATGGACTTCACCATATTTGGCCCCCATTCTATCCTCTGGGATATCCACGGGTACTCCATGTATGGTTACCTTTGTCCTGCGTGTGCCCATATACTCCGTTTGCAAACGTAAGATTTTTGTTTTCAACACGCTTCAAGGTAATTCCTTGGCTTATTGCTAATAATATGTCCCATAGTGCATTTGTTCTTCCGGCGAGTAATTTTGGGCTGATTTATGGAGTTTTTAGGGCTTCTTCCATGCTATCCCTGCTGACCCCAATTAATTTTCGAGTTTTAACATCAGAAGTCAGCAGGGAAATTTTCCGAGTACTTACGGCATCCAGTGTCTCCGGAATGGTTAAGAATTAATTCCCTTTGAATGATTCTTCAAATTTCTTCCTTTGATTGCTGTAAAAGGCGGGATCTTTTTTAAGCGGCCTACTTTCAGACCAGGACGTTTTTGCTGGTGACACCGGAGTGGAATACGGTGTATTACTTTCACCATTGTTACTGTCCGCCATGATAGTTTTTACAAACCACCACGGGGGAACAAATAATGGCTATCTTTTTAAATTATTTTTTTTTCTTTTCCCACAAACGAAAAACAGAATAGTCAAGGACAATAACACAAAAAATAAACAAGAACGTGGTAAACCAAAAAGTAATCAACAATTAAAACAAATACGAAAAAGATAAAATGAAAACGGGGGCAGGGTAAAAAATACAAAAACGAAAATAGAAAACAAAAAGATATAAAAATTTCACAAAACTAAAACAGGAAAAGACTGAAAAATGCAAAAATTAAATTAAAAACACAGAAAGGAAAACAAACAACGAAAGAAAGTAAAGAAAATACACAAATAATATGCACAAATCTGAACCAGGAAAACTGAAAGATTCAAAAAACGTTTCAAAAATTGAAAAAAAAATTAGCTGTTTAAGCGCAAAGAAATACTCAAGTTGGACCACTGGCTCCCGAAGGACAATCTCAACCCTCCTCTCTCCTCCTCTCCTCTTCTCCTCTCCTCTCTCCTCCTCTCCTCTTCTCTCTCCCTCCTCCTCTCTCTTCCCTCCTCTCCCTCTCTATCCCCCTCCTCTCCCTCTCTATCCCTCTCTCAGTAAGAGAGAGTTCTATTTAAATCGTCTTAGACCAGTCCATCTTATGGGGGTGTTCAGCTACCCCACAACATCCACCTTGTTTTAATTGACTTCTTCCTCTGGAAGTCGTACTTTTTACTTTTCGTGTTTTTCTTTATAGTCCCTGAAAATTTTCTTTTCCGTTTACTCGAATGATTCTCCTCGGGGACTATTAAGGGCATCAGTATGTCGAATAAGTCATAAATAACCTTTATCGGTTCTTTCTTCTGGTGACTTATATCCTCCGAATACCTTTTCCTCATCTAGTTGTGATCTCACTTAATGGTCTTTTTCGAGTCTTTAATTATATACATTACTTTCCCGATGTGTTTATCAATGACACCAGCATTCTAAATTGCTTTCTCGTTACTATACTCTTTGAAAAAAATTCTCCTGATAGATAGGATTTTTTATCTGTTTTTATTTTCCCTTTATTTTATTTCCCTTTGGCAACAGTTTATGGAACACAGATCTTATTTTTCTCGCGAACATTAAATCTGCAAGTGACAGCCCCGAATTGATACTTGGGTTTGATGTCACACGAAAAATTGTAGGATATCGTCAATGGATCCGTTTTCGTCTGCCATCTTTAATGCTCGTTTGAAAGTGTTTACAGATCTTTCTGTCTGCTCATCAGATCGCGGGTGATATGGTGTGGTAGTGATGTATACAATCGAAACAATTTGCAAACGCCTTTGAAGTCTTTTGCTGTTAATTGAGTGTCATTGGCCGACACAGTTGTATCCGGGATACCGAATCTGGCAAAGATTTCATGCAAAAATTGTACCACTGCACGTAGGTTGTTTACATTTCATCATCTCTGGCCATTTCGAGAAACTGTCAACCATAATTAAATAGTATTTTCCCTTCAGTGGATCTGCAAAATCTATATGAAGCCTTGCCCAAAGTTTGTCCGTCTTTGGCCAAGGGGTTAATTTCACCGGTTGCGCCTTTGGCGCCATCGCACAACATCTGTATGATTTTACATTTTTCTCTATTTCTTCGTAGATATTCGACCAAAAGAATAGCTTCCCATTAAAGCTTTTACCCTCGATATACCGGAGTGAACTGTATGGAAGTTTTTTAATATTCTTTTTTTGTAGAACTCCTGGTATCACCACCCGTTCGCCGTAAATCAAAATTCCATCATAGATAGAAAATTCTTTTTGTACTGTTGGCCCATAATTTTTTTCCTTTTTGTCATGAGTCCTTACCTATAACTACAGAATGAACTCTTCATAACACTATGTATACTACGGCTCTCAAGAGAGAGGGACGAATCGAGCCGAGCTTCTCGACTTGACGGTCGAACTCTCTGCTTTGAGCAGAAAGGAACGGACGAGGTTCCGCCGAAGGGCAGAATCTCGTTCGGGGAGAAATGACCTACCCTATCTCGTTTTTACGAGTCATACGGGCATATTTTTGGCTGAGCTTACGGGCTCAGGAAACCCACGATAAAAATGACCTTGTGTCGCATGCAACCCTCGTGGGGGGGTGGCTAGATACTGAATCGAGCCGAGCTTCTCGACTTGACGGTCGAACTCTCTGCTTTTGAGCAGAAAGGAACCCGGACGAGGTTCTGCCGAAGGGCAGAATCTCGTTCGGGGAGAAATGACCAACCCGATCTCGTTTATACGGGTTATACAGGCATTTTTTGGCCGACCCTACGGGCTCGGGAAACCCACGTTAAACTCGGCCTTGTGCTACATGCAACCCTCGTGGGGGTGGGTGGCTAGATACCGAATCAAGCCGAGCTTCTCGACTTGACGGTCGAACTTTCTGCCTCTGAGCAGAGAAGAACCCGGACGAGGCTCCGTCGAAGGGCAGAGTCTCGTTCGGGGAAAATGACCAACCCGATCCCGTTTATACGGGTTCTACGGGCATTTTTTGGCCGAGCCTACGGGCTCGGGAAACCCACGTTAAACTCGGCCTTGTGCCACATGCAACCCTCGTGGGGGGTGGCTAGATACTGAATCGAGTCGAGCCGATAGTAGTTCACTCCAAACCAGACTGACAGTCATACTAACACCTTCCACATCTTGTATTATTATTTCGTGTAGTATACCTTCGTTATTTCTACTCTTGTGTTCATGTTGTTCTTCCTTGATCCTAACCTGGACCATAACACTTTTTCTCTGTGATATATTTGTCAATTTTTGCTTTGTACCTGATCACCTTAAGCCCCACAGGTAATCCTGTATGGTGTTGCACAGCATGCTTTTTATTTCCATCTCTTTTTTTAGAACTGCTATCACAGTTTCTTTAAATGATTCACATAGTTTGGTGATTAACCTGGATAACCCATCCGCATGCCCTAATCACTTTGAAGGAAGCAATTCCATCTTAAAATTACGATTTAATTATATTGTTCCACATCCTTGAAGTCGATTTGCAGTAAGTATAAGAATCCTTTTGTGGAACCAAAAATAGACAATAACGATCTGTGGTTCGTTTCAAGGGTAAAAATTCTTCCATGTATGAATGTATGGAGCTTATTTACCGCAACATTTTCCCTAAAGTCTCTATTTCAATTTGGCTGTACCCTTTTTTCAGTTGGCAATTTGGTCATCGACGTATGTGCAATTGCTTTTACTTTTTTTTACGACCGTTGCTTTTTTGTGTAAAATTACGTCTCCTAAGCCCAAATTACTAGCGTCACTTACAATAATATCCTTATTTGGATCGTAATGCGACAGACTTAAGTCTGACGTTAATAATTATTTTATTTCCTCAAAAGCACTCTGACATTCAGTACTCTAGTTCCAATTAGAATCTTTTTAATAATTTGTTTAGAGGAGCTCTTAACACGTACATATTTGGGATAAAATCACCGTAATAATTTGCTAGACAAGAATGCTTGCAGTGCCGACACATTCTTTATAGCACTCGACCTCAATGGGTCTGGTTTTCTGCCTTTTACATCTATAGCCTACCCCAAATACTTAATTTTAGATAAAAAAAATCATATTTATCCGAACATAGTTTCAAGCCATATTGTTTTATTTTTTTCAAAAACTTCTTTAATAAGTTCGGCATGTTGTTCTCGGCTTTCACTCTTAATTAAGATGTCGTCAAAGTAGGCTAATTCAGTATTGTATCTATGATTTTCTGAAAAATGTCTGATGCGACCTTTATCTCGAATGGCAGTCTGTCGAATCTATAAGACCGTTATGCGTTTTATAGTTACATACTTCACACATTTTTCGTAGATAAAAATCTGGACGTACGCCCCAGACAAATCAACTTTTGAAAACACTTTGACACCATTTAATTTTGCAAATATGTATTCAGAATTTGACAGAGGATAATTATATGTTTATCCTGTATAAAAATCTGCGCAGTCCCTAATCTTATTATTTTTCTTTTTTCAGGTAAACGGTAGGGCTTTCCCACTCACTGTAGTCCGTTTTGTACAACACGCCTATTTGCTCTAAGCGGTCTAATTCTTTACTAAGGGAGGCTTCGACTGCAAAGGGTACTATTCTTTTCGGCATAAAAATAGGCGTTACATTCTTTTTAAGTTTGAATGTCGCTTTAGCTTTTGTGAATCTGCCAAGACCCTCAGAAAAATTTCAGGAAATTTTATCTTTAATTCTTTCAATTTTTCTACGCTGTTTGAATTAACACTGACACTATAGCGAAACGAATTAATTGGTTGGTTGAAAAGGTCGAATGGCTCAATTTAATCCATACCGAACAGGTCTTGAGTTCGTTTTATAACGGATCCTTTTAATTTTATAGTTTTGTCAATAAATTACATATTTGCGTAAAATTCTCCTTCAGAATTTAGTTTATTTCCTCTAATTCTTTTCGTTGTCATTAAAGTTAGTCCGCCAATATTTCCCAAGTTTTCATCTTTCAATGTCATATGAACCGGTATAAAAATGGAACTTAATATTTTTATTATTTATCTGTACAGTTAAAAATTTTTTTTCATTTTTATTTCTTTGTTTTCCATAATAGTTGAGTTAACCGTATTTTTCATTTTTGAACCCTTTTTGGGTTTTCTGCATTGCATATGTTTCTGTCCTTTTTTACCATTTGCAATTAAAGAATTCTTTCCTTCGAAACGGATATTCCTTGTACAGTGTAACCCGGATATAAGAGAGTTGTCGGGACCGGAGAAGAAGTCTCTTATATTCGGGTTTCTCTTATATTCGGGTTTGGTCTATTTTATATACATTAACACAGGCTCTAATTTGGGACCACAGAAAATCTCTCTTATATCCGGGTTTCTCTTATATCCGGGTTACACTGTAATAATGACTCTGTCCACAGCCATAACAAGGATTTATTTTGCGGGCAACATTTTCTTTATGTTGTCTTTGTTCAGCCGCCTGAAGTTTTGACATGTCGCGTTCTTCTATCCTTGCCTTGTCGTATCGAAGGTTTTCTATTCGTTCGCATTCTTCTGCGACCATTTGCAGACTGATTTTGGGATTTTGTTCCAATTTAGACAAAATTCTGGTTCTAATATCGTCATCTATTGAAAATCCCAGCAAAAGTCGAATAATCCTCCCCATTTTTTGCAAGGTTTAAACATTGCCATTTTGCATTGAATAGAGAACATTTCTCACCTCAATTTTTTTTTTTCAGAATTAAGACAGTCTCTTCGAAAAAGATTTTCCCAGGATTTCTAGGAAGTATATGCTTCGCATACTTTTCGTGTTCACTTGGACCAAATTTTCCGAGCAACAGACGTATTTTCTTTTCGTCCTACTTGAAAAACCTTTTCATAACGGCTAAAATACGCCGCAAAAGTTACCTCCTCCTAAGTACTGCACTTAAATTCGCCAAAGGAATTTATCACGGAGACCCAAGAAAAAGAATTTTCATTGCCTTGCTTTCCTTTTTTCAATACTAACAATTCGAATATTTTTTTAAAAGCGGACGTTTTTTTAACAGAGTTCCTGGTCCAAATGTCGTTGTTCCTGCAGGATTTTAATGAATCCCACCATTGCTTCTTTTAAATCCTCCATGT